TGTCGGTAAAAAGTTGAGACGAAAATAGCGTAATCTCGGTTTTTTGTTTTTGTTTTTTTGTCTCGGAAAAAGATGTGTATGCACACACAGATGCACACATACACACACACATTCACTCACACACACACACTCACACACACACACACACACACACATACATATATATATTAATTATGCTATTATTATAAGTTATTACCGCTAAAAGTTTGAAAAGTATAATACCTTGTGTGTAGTGAGATTCTATAGTCTATATCCCTCGCCACGAGACCATGAGAAGCCAAATACCTGTCTAACCTTTTGCTCGTGGTCAGTCCTGTAGACGCCAGCCTGTCCCTTTATCCCCGAAATAATCCACGCGCAGACACACGCGTTCGCATAAGTCCTATGCAAAAACGCGGATTTGCAACCTACACGCACGCAGACCGAAGGATGAATGGCGGGTCTCGCAGGTTCCAAGGTGTGTTAAAGAATTTTGAGGCGAGTTTTTGCATCGATATTGCAGACAGAGTGGGCGTGTCCGGAATTAAGCCACATCCTATTCAGATTCTGAGGGAGTCTTGTCTAATTAGAATGTTAATACGTCATAAAATGTATAGATTAATTGGAACGTTTTAGTGTTTGTAGGCGTGTCTAAATAAGGATTTGAAATAATTAATCATGGTACACATTTGCATATGAGAAACTAATCTTCGCTCAGTTAAAATAATTCTTGCTAAGAGTTTTCAAATTTTGCAAATTGCTCATAAGGAGCGTCAATTTGCATTGTGTCATCTCACTTATCTACCTTTTCTATGTCGCAACGTACTTCATAAAAAGGAATAGGTCTTAATATACTATCTATCTATCTATCTATCTATTATCTATCTATATATATATATATATATATATATATATAATGGTGTGTGTGTGTGTGTGTGGTGTTGTGTGTGTGTGTGTGTGTGTGTGTGTGTGTGTGTGTGTGTGTGTGTTTGTTTTGTGTGTGTGTTGTGTGTGTGTGTGTGTGTGTGTGTGTGTGTGTGCGTGTGTGTGTGTACGTTTTTCCCTCTTGTTTTACTGTAAACCATATGTGGAAGCATGTAAGCAACTGAATGATAAAGTCTTCATATACAGATAAGGGTATAGAGAAATGCTTGGGAGTTCACTGAAGAGAAAAAAGGAAAACCATCAAATATACTCTGTTTAAGCGCGGTAAATATCTTTGGTGAATTCAAAACATGCCTGATGAAACGTATCACTTTGAAAACCATAGAAACTCGTCACAAAATATAACATAAAGACGGGTATATAAACTATGGACAGCGACGTATCACATGAAATACGTTACATCTATTTCGTTAAATAATATATTTATTTGCTTCCACCCTTCTCCTCGTTGACTCTTCCGTGTGTTTATTGTAAATTCGTTGTATTGAATTTCTAAAAAAAAATATATATATCTTAAAGAATTGTTCAAGTTTGGCATCTATAAAGAATCTAACGATAAAACTGTGCGTTGTATTTTTGAAAATTCGTTCAGAGGTTCATAGTTGCCCATCACTTCGCTGCAATTGCTTAGGAAAAGGTGAATGGTCAGCTGACCAGGTCATTTTGACATGGATTTTCCGTTGCAACATCACCTAGGTTAACACAGAGTAACGTTCGAAAGTACTTCTGATTTTTCAAAAAAGAAAAACAATCCAAAACATCTATTGTAAAGATGATATATTTTTTTCCCTATTGTGAGCCACGAAGTATTGAACCTTTAAGTTACGTATAATCTTCATCAGTCGGGCAGAAAGCTATGATATTGAACTTTCCAGCTAAAATCAACAAGAGAAAATCTTCTGTCCTAAAGCTCCATCTTTTTTTTTTTTTTTTTTTTTAGTGCTGACGCCGAACCAAAAAGAAAAGTGCGTATAAAAATATCGACACATTTTTACTGATAGATATTTAACTATTTGTCAACCATGGTTCCACTCCTGCCTTCATTATGTACAGGATGGATGATAACTGCAGTGTCAGGTTCACTTACCTCTTTGTTCTCTCGAAAACGAAATAGGGATCAAACTGAAATCTTTTAAGTTATGAACATGGTTTAAGACGGATGAGGAATTATCTACGTAGCTCGAACGAGGGAGGAAAGCTACCTGCATGGTCTTGAATTAGGCAACAAGCGGACTACGGAAGCAATCACGAAACTTTCCTCAGTCTCAGGGCTCTGGCGCTAAGATGGCGTACTTGCTGAAGTTTTAGGAGCGTTTGAGGAAAAACTGGAATTTACCGATAGCCATGAAAAAAAAATGCCAGCGAATGCTGAAAGCAAATAATACTTGAATAGTTCCAAATAAAATCAGTTTTCAAAAAGCGTTAAGGACTTTCTATATGTACATGTCCTTTTGTTCCGCGCAAGAAAACCTACATATTTGGATTGTACAATTGAGAGGAATTACGATACCAAAATCGTCAAAACGATTACGTCGCCGCTCAGACATCGTCGCCCCGATAGTAGTGCCCAAGTTGCCGCTAAACGGGGGGTTTCCGCGCAAATAAAAACCACATATTTGGTTGTGAGAGGAATCCACGATACCAAAATCGTCAAAATTACTATATTACGTCCGCCGCTCCGACATCGTTCGCCCCCGATATAGTGCCCAAGTTTGCCGCTAACGGGGGGTTTCCGCGCAATAAAACCTACATATTTGGATTGTACAGAGTGAGAGGAATCCAACGATACCAAAATCGTCGATATCGGTGAGGCGAAGGTAATATAGAAAATTACCTCCTTTTGTATACATCCAAATGCGTAACCAAGGATGAAATATGCAAGCATTTACCATACGAAGGAAATCCATCGGTTCTCACTTTTGGGCTCGAGTGCTTCCATTAGATTCCACTGAATATTCCTTTTCCGCTTCAACAACTACATCCTTCACATCCTACTTTAACTCTTTTTTTTTCTTATATTCTTAATTCTACACTACAGCGCAGCAAAGGCAAGTCTACATCACGTACGCCCGTGTCGGCAGCTGAAAAACACGCGCAAAAAAACTGCGGCGCGCGGATACACATGAGGGAATCCGCCTCAGCTGTTGTTTTTGCCAATGCAGGTAAACCGGAGAAAAAAATTTGAACGTGCGTAAGGCTCCTTTGAATTTAGAATAATAGTGCATAGATTCGTGGTATCCATCAAGGTTTAGACTTACATGAAGTCAAAGAAACTAAAATTTTGTAACGTCAACAACTGTAAACATTTTGTGTAGGAAACCTAAATAAACTTAAAAACACATCGTAAACCGAGTTATTACTTTTTAAACGCTTTTCGACTGTTCAAATATACCTTTGTGTGAAGGCCACTAACATTTTTTTTAAACAAAAGATTACAAGAAAGGATAGGCCTATAAACTTTAAAGGAAAGTTAGCGATTCGTAGCGAGGAAGAAAGCTTTTCTTTCTAAGTTGTGCATAAATGTTTGAGAAAGGAAGCTTGAAGAAACACTACTTGTTAAAAAAAAAAAAAATGTTTTTAATGTTTTGCATCGTTGGTAAAAAAAATCGTTGGAAGTGATTCGAATGTTGAATCAAGCGTCAATATAAGATATGGGAATCTGGACACGGCCTACGAACGTATACACTAATTACATACATTTTAAAAATCCGTTTCAAATATACCAAATAGACCTATTTTCATAAATCATCGTAGCAAATCCAATGACAAAATTATCTAACCCATGAAAGTTAAAATGAACGAAGGAGGGCAGCTTACGACCATCTGTACCAAATGGCTCATACCAAAGACACAATATGTAATTATTGACTTTTGGCCTTCTGTTACCCCTTCTTTTTGGGTTGTTTGAGTTTTCCCTTTCTTTATCATAAAAATTGCTTCGCTAAGAACGATGCCTTACATAGTTTTCTTTTAGATTTGATGTTTTTTTTTTAAGTTCAATTTTGTCCCTGATGAATATTTTTGGGGGGAATTTCTTGATTTTGCGGTAAAGTTTCCAAATAAAAGTTTCTCACTTCTGTATTTCGTAAAACCAGATTCAGTAATGGATTTTTGTGTCTTATTGCAGATAATTACTATGTGTCATTAATTTACATAATGATAATGGCAATAATGATAATTTTAGAAATAATAATGACAATGATAATAATTATAATGACAATGATAATTATTAATTTTAATTATTAGTGCAAAGTTTTAAACTAGGCTTGGTAATTACCTTTCATTAAATACGAAGTTAAAACAAACAATTTGATACGAAACTTTGTCAGCGTCGACTTACATCACGCTGTTCGGGAAAAAAAATCTGAATATCAAAGTTTCTTAACTATTTCTAATTCCGTATTAAGTTTCTTGGCTCCTGGGGCTTCAGACTTTGTCCCTCGCTTTTTTCCCGAACGAAGGAGGAGAAAAAGAGAAAGGAAGAGAATTAGAGGAAGGGGTCCGCCTCCAGGGTACGCCTATAGTGCCGAGTGTCGCGAGATCGATAATTATGTAGCATCGCCGATAGTACAGATGCTGTTCCTCTCGCCTCGTGCCTGCCGCCCTCTGTCCATTCCTGCGAATATCCATTGGCGATTTATTTATTCATTTGTTTGGATATTTCTTTCTTTAT